AACCCATTTTTTCTCAAAGGTAAAATAGTTAAATAGTGGGATAACGCAAAATATTATTAAGGGAATTATAAACCCTCCTCAGATTTCATTTTCAAGCTCTGATTTTTGTCTGGAATCGTCATCGAAGTACCCCTCATATATCCCTCCCTGTTCTTTTACTTTTTTGCTTTATTTGTAATAGTGGTTTGTGGTCATATCTTGTTTGATAATTTTTTGGATTCTATTTTATTATTTATCAAACTTTTTCCTTATGAATCCTTATTGTATTGTAATAACCCATACTTAATAAGATTGCAAATTTATGATTATTTCAAATTTTTTCCTTTTAGGATTTATTTTCGCTTCCTAATGAAAAAGATGTTGAGAATGATGTCGGTTTAACTAAGGAAAATATCGAGACAAACATCAGAGCAAGGCCAGATATTTCTAAATACTTGTTTTTTTTTTCAAATTCAGGCAAATTCGTTTAGAAACATTTTTCTACAATTTTTTGTTAATCATTAATAATGAGATTAAGATTTTAGATTTCTATTTTATATTATATTTTTAGAAAGGGAATTCAATCAAATCAGTCGACTGGGTCAAAATGGCCATTGAATAATGCTGTTGAAAAAGATTTTGTAATGAGTGATTTATCGGAATTCGAGCCAGCGCGTGAGTTGGATGTAATCAGTGAGCAGCAGGATATAAATGTAAGCGCAGAAATTCTACAAATTTTTTTCAGCTTTTTACAGTTCCAGATAATTTAGAAAACCGTATTAACCATTAACTCTTTTTTAAAAGCATTTTTGAATTACAATATTGCAAATTCCACTGGAATAATTTTTCTCGAGTTTTACAGAAAATAATAAAATTTTTCAGTAACAAATTGGTTTTTAAGAGATTAGAGATTACTATTAGTTTTTTTTTCGGAGAATAAACTCTTTTGTCAAAACAGGAAAAAATGAAAATTGGATTTGGCATAGGCGTCACTTCTGAAGAATTTTCCGAGCGAGAAGATTTAGAAGAACCTAAATGGGAACCTTTGGATTTTGTTCGAAGTTCAGACGTAAGCTATAAACCACCTAGTATCATCAGAAGCGATTCACCGGATGTTATAGTTCATCGTAGGTGGTTGAGTGATCATACAGAAAATTCATCTATTTATAAACAAAAGTTGGCAGAACAATTACAAAAAGAGCAGGTTTTTTTTTTATTTTGCAAGGCTGATCAAGTTTAATTAACTTTAGTCTAATTTAAACTCATCCATCAATCATATTTGATCAATTATATTTCTCGATTTTATATATTACAATTATATATATATTATTTTTTTTAAAAATATGAAAAATTTAAATTTTCTTATTTTTTGAAATCATACATTTGTTTTGGATAATGTATATTCAATGTAAGTGAACAGAAATGGCCTGATGAAAATGGTCAATGGTTACAGTGATATGCTAGATTTTTTCAGGAAAATCAAAATATTAGTATTGTGCGACTGCGCCATTCAGAGCCGAAAAGTAGCGATACAGCTAATAGATGCAGAAGTCAAATGATCCTTTTAAAAAAGGAGGATGAATCGCAATGGACGGAATCCTCTTCATTAGATTTGAATAAAAATCTGTCTACATCAAGTCCATCAGTTAATGAAATAGAAATTATAACTTGTACAGAAGCTACTATTCATAAACTTGGTAATCACATTTTTAGCATCCAAATTCTGCTTTATATAAATAAAAGATAATTTTAATATTAAAGATAATTTCATTGGAAAAATTAATTTCATTTAAGGTAACAATCAAATGCAGACAGACATTAGTGAAGGCGATACTTTAAAAGAGAAACAAAGATTGGGATTTTTGATGCGAAAAGATACTCAAAAATGGAAACGAAACATGCCTGCCACATTTGGAGCTCATCAGGTATTTTTTATTTCAATTTTTTTCTAAATGGGCGAATGTGAGGAGAGGCAAGTTTCCTCTGCTTCACAGCTGTAACTTTTATTATAATTATAACTTGTAGAAGTATAGATATAATTTCTTTGTTTTTTTAATATATTTCTTACAAATAGCAGCATTGTTTATGGTTTTTAATGATGAAATTTTTGAAACAGATTTCCTTCTTGTTTCATATACGGTTGGTTTTTATTTAGAAAGATTTAAATGTCGTTGTTATTCATATGTTATACAGTGCTGTTTGCCTTTTTATTTTTTTTTCTGTGATTCCATGCCAAGGATTAGCAACAGATTGATTTTTTTATCGGTACACTATAATTTTTCGGTGGTATTCTTTCTTTCTCATACCATTTAATTTTTTTGAACGATAAATTCCTTGTTTTCAATTTTAATATTATCGTAAATTTCACTGTCTTCTTCATTGCACCATTCGTATTTGGCAGGCCATTGTTTTTAAAGATTATTTTTCAGGTATTTGGACCTTTGCATCGTCCAACTCGATTAATATCTAGTTCCAGTAGTGTGACCAATGATAAAAAGTAAAATTTTTCAAGTTTAATGAAATTTATTTGTATGTTTATTTTTCCAATTTTTTCATTCAAAGTATTTAAAAGATTTTTCGAAGGTTTTGGTAAAAAAAATTTTCTTGGAGAAATATTTTTGAAAAAATTGCAAAAATATTTCTTACATAAAACATTTTATTATAGAAAGAATATTAACATATTTAAAGGAAATGATGAAAAGTATTAATAAAATTTCAAGAAGTTGCAACTAGAAGATTTAAAATAAAGACAAATTTTCATAATTTTATAAATTTGTGAATGTAGTTGGGTGCTCTTTATATTTAATGAAAAGTTGTCGAAAAATTGTCCATAATTTGTTAGCGGAGGAATAATGAATAATAATATTTTAAAGATCGGCAAGGCCAGATAAGAAATCGAGAATTGAAAAGAAACATACACGAAAGAGCAGTACTCTGCTAGATTTTTTCAGGGTTGGTTATTTATTTCTTCCTTCTTTTTTCGATTTTTTTGGACGAAAATCGGTGATGAATGAATTATTAATTTTTTGGTTTTATTTTTTGTTCCTTTCTGCCCTTTTGTTATTGATTAATTGAGTGAATATTTAAAAATTCGATAAATTCATACGATAAAATTTTAGCATAAATGGCTCTTGATTTGATTTTTTTTAAAGAGTAAAGTCGGGAAATCAGAAAACCACAGCATTTCCAGATCTCTGGTAAATGATCCGAGGAAGAAGAACTATTTTTTAATGTGAAAATGAATGAATATTGGAATTTTTTTAGCATTTAGACTTCTAGCATTTAATTTTTGATACTTTGATACTTTATTTTATATAATTATATGCGAAATTGTAGAAATAAATCAAAAATTAATTTTATATATTTTAGAAGGTAGATGGTCGCACTAATCTGGATACTTCAAGCTCGCCTGTCAGCTTTGACGTTGGTTTCTTTCATTTGTTATGACTTTTATTTTCATTAAGATTATTTTAAAATTTAGAATTTTCATACAATCAAGAAATTCGATTATTTTTCACTTTTATACTTTTTTCACAGTTGCCTTTTTTGGCAAAATTGCAAAATTGATTATCTCGTCTTCTAATCTGATAAAATTTCGTATTCGTATTTTACTAAGTATTGAAGCAATTTTTGGGAGAAATTCTTTAAATTCTTTTTTAATTTTTTCTGCAAATATTAAATATTCAAAAAAGTTCAATTGAATTAGTTCTATCAGCTAAAATAAAGTATAAAATAAAGTATATTTTGAAAAACTGACTTCTAGCATTTAATTTTTGATACTTTGATACTTTATTTTGATTTTAAGAATTTTTTTTTTAATTTCGCAACAATGATTGATTCAAAATTTATTTAATCCTTCCGAAAAGTTTTTTCTACGAATTTTTTATTCAGACAAAGTTCTGGCAAATTTTATGACAAATAAATAAAGTTAAAAAAGCAAAATAAATTTAAATAAATATAAATTTTGCTTCACAAAAGGATTGTAAGGCGGAACTTCTAGTCACAGATTTTTATTTTATATATATTTATTTTAATATTTATTGCTTGTGTAAATTTATCAGTTTTAGGGGCGATCAGCTATATCTGATAGTGTATTGCCTTCAGCTGATGGTTTGTAAATTTTTTTTCAATGCCATAGTTTTGATTTTTTTCGGAAATGAAAAGTTTAATCTTGGTTTTATTTTATCTTCATTATCTTTCGTTTATTATTAATAAGTATCTTAAAAAAACAGGCTAATAGCAGAATGTTAGAGTTAGAATTTTTCCTAATGAGAATTTTCGTCTTTTTTGACTGCATCATGGAATATATTCCCTATTCATTCCTTCTTTTTTCATTCTTCACATTCATATTGCTTCATGCCTGTTGATTTCCTCAACGATATCCATTTTTTTGCCTTAATTCTTCTTTCTTTTTAATTCTTTTTCTTGGCTTTTCCTATCACTTCCTCACCGTCTAGGTTGAGCCCTTTGTGATATAAGATAAATAAATTTATTTGATTTTCTTTGCTGTTTGCAAAAATACTTCTTTCGTGATATTGCATTGAAATCGCTTTAGTGTAGCGTTATTGTGTTGCATTATCATGTCGATCGGCAAGAAGACTGTATTTTGTGGGAGGGAGAAAACGTTGTGTTGTCGGTTGTAATAGCTAGCTTATATTTTATCATAGAATTCTTTTTATGATTCAATTTTCCGATCCCGTCATCATCATCATCATCAAATGTTAACCTTCGATTGAATTTCATCTTTAAATTTTTATTCTTCAGTTTGCTTTAAAGATTTGCTCATTTTTTCCAGAACATTTCTTCATATTTTCTTTGAAATTTTTTCAAAAATTTGCTGATATACTCAGATTTTAAGAATTTAACAATTACTCGAGTAACATTCATTATCATTTTATCTTCTTGTTTCTCATCGAATGTTATTATATCCTATATGGTTTCTTTGCGAATTTTCTAAAGAATATTTGCATTTGATAATAGGAAGCAGTGAAAATTTATTTGAATTAAGAAGCAGTGAAAGAATGCAGTCGACGCAATTTTTAAGTATAAATAGACCATCGTGGATGATGCGGCATTATTCTGCTGGTGATTTACGAGATTGTACAATAGTTGAAGAAAAAAGCATTTTGTCATCGGAAAATGATAATAATCAAGAATCAGACGATGGATTTTTAGTGTATCATAAGAATTATGATCAATTGCCTTCAATTAATATCATTGATGTAGAAAATTTCACTAAAAAACGATCTGATTCTGTATCTTCATCTGATAATTATATTTATGGAAATGATGGGAAGATTTTAAGAACAGATATTGGACAACTGAAATATGGTTCCACAATAAATTTTCATGAAGAAGATGCATATAGATCGAATTTTAAGTTACGACGTTCCGTTACTACACCGGCCAATAGTTCCAACCGTAAATCATTTTCAAAATTTAATTTACGATTCAGTTTTCGAGAACCACTTCATAAACGAAATGCGGGAAGGCTTTCTTATATTTTTCCTCGTGAAATACATGGACATACGAGTTTAGAAGATAAAAGTATGCATTATTTTTTCCAAGTATTTCTAAGTTTTAAATGATTCTATAAGTCCTGTTCGTTCATCTTAGTTTCTTCTTTTCTTCTTTGAGTAAAGAAAGAACAGAAAAAATTGGATGGTTGGGAAGAAATTGTGTCGTATGCTATATAAGCATTCTAACTGGTTTTATTGTATTTTATATTATTAATATCAAAAAGAATTTCTTTATTGTTATTTTCTCATTAAATTTAATTTTTTTAATCGAGAATTGTTTAATTATTTTAATTAGATTAATAAGAGTAACGGAAAAAATGAACAATAAAGAAAAATAAATGAAAAATAAAATTATAAAACATTGGCAATAAAGGAAAAAAATTAATTTATATTATTCACTTTTTTAAAAATTATTTTTCATACTTAGCTTGAATCATTTATAAAAAATATAAAATATTTATTAAATATATAAATTTATATATTTATATAAAATATATAAATTTATTAAATATGTAGGATATTTATTCATTTACAAAAATTTATTTTAAGGTTTTTCCGATTTTCTTGTGAAAGAATTTCAAGAGCAATCAAGCTCGTTAGGTCATCACGATGCACATTTATATGAAAACATTATCAACGGTGAAAAAATCGAATTTTTTCCTCAAATGTTAGTCATCACTTGTTTTTTTCCCCTTATGCTAATATTTGTTCCATTTCTGTTTGTTAAATATTGTAGATTCATAGCATCAAATTAATTTCACATTGCTCTCTCAAAAATTTTAAATTCTAAACATATTTGGCATTTTTTATTTTTCAATGCTTGCGTAAATTTCCATTTAAATTTTTTATAGAAACAAGCCGGAATGGGTCGATTTAGACTTATGGACTGAAGAACCAATTTCGTGGTCATCACTTCATCCGGACATTAAAGTAAGTAAACAAGAGCGTCGTAAACAGGATGTGATCTATGGTCAGTTTATGTGTTAAAAAAGATTCTTTTTTTAAATTTATCATCTTTCCCATTTCCCATTATTGAAATTTTCCAATTTCTAATTGCTTTGTGATAGCTTTCTCATTTTAATTTATTTTTTATTTTTATCATTTATATTTAAATCATTTTTCATTTTTTCATAATTCATTTTTTAGAATTATATTTGACTGAAAAGCATCATTGTCAAGTATTAGTTATCATGCAACAAGTATGTCTTCACAACTTTTTTTTCATCTTTATTTTTATTCATTTGAGAATTTCAATTTTCATTTTTATTTATAGAGAAATATTTGCTGAATTTCTATTAACGGATTCTTTTTTTCTGAATTTTGGTTGGATAATAGCATTTTTAATTCGTCTTCGTCTTATAGGTATTATCAGTTAGTAGGTTTGGTTAATTAATATTAATAGTTACACTTATTTAACATGCGTTAAATGAACTGAGAATCATTTTTAGGTTTATCAAGAAGGGTTACGAATAAATAATATTCTTGATGAAACTGATCGCGATCAGTTAATTCCTTGTGTGCTAGATGCACTTATAAATTTTCATATTAATTTTTTGCGAAAATTGTTGCAAAAAAGAAAGCAAGAAACAGTTGTCGATTCGATATCTGAAATTATTTACAGCGAAGTTCTTAAGTTTTATTTTTTTAATGAAAAATATTTATTTAGATTTAGATTTTATTTTGAGACTTGCTTAATTGGGGGTTATTTAAATTTGGTCTGAAAATTTAAAGGTTCTTTACTTGTAGTTCGAGAAGGGGGAGCGCAGTGAAGCAGCGGTCTATGCTTATACAGAATTTTGTTGGAAGAATGATCGATGTGGTCGATTATATGATGATTGGCGTGCAAAAAATGCTGATTTTCGACGATTTTTCGATGTACATTTTCCTCTTTTTCAAGTCGTTTCCAAATTGATTTCCAATTTCAAATAAGCACAATTTAAGCACAGTTTCATTTCAGGAGTTTGAATCTGATCCTTTATATAAACATCGTTCATTCAAAATGTGTCTATTGTTGATAGCTCAACGACTAACAAAATATCCAGTGCTGGTTAATAAGGTGAATAATATGAAAATTTAATCGTAAATTGTTCAAAATAATTTAAGATATGAGATTAAATAAGAAAAATTAACTTTTCTTAAATTTACTGTAAAATTTCGAAGGAATCAATTTTCTTAAATTTCTAAATCTCTCTTGAATTTATTTCATCTTAAAAATTCGCATTTTTATTTCTTTATTCATTCATAATTTGCAAATTTTATTATAATTCATAATTTGCTGTTATGATTGAGTTTTATCGCAGTTGAATGAATTGGAAAGTAATTCGCTAATGGAAGAAAGCATTCGGGCTAACATTGCTGTCAAAAAGTTCGCTATGCTCGTTAATAATGAAATAGCCAAACTAGAAATTAACAAAAGATGGGAAAGAATTCGCTCGCGGATAGATAAAAACTCTGTGGGACGTCTAAGTCAAAATGATCTGTTTACTGTGAGTTCTCGAAATCTTATTTAATAAATTCTTTCTAATTTTTAATTTTTCGTCCAAATTATTTCAATCATTTATTTAGAAAAATTTTTATTTTTTTTTTTACTTAAAATGAGCTGGTCATTTTTTTGTTGGTATTTTTGAGATTTGTTCAATATTCTATATATTTTTGTTTCTGTTTTGCTTCGCGTCTGAACTATAACTTGTTAATTATTATTATGTGACCGAATAAGTTATGAAAGCTGTGTTTGAATTTCAGTACAATGATCTTATTTTGAGTGGAAATGAAGAGCAGAGGAGAGTCATTTGTATCGGTTCCGCGCTTTTGCAAAATGCACAAAAAAAACAGTCAGAAGGAGCTAGTAAGTTAATACCACCAATGAAGCCAGTCATTTCTTTCTAACGAATTCAAACATATAGCATTTTTTTTAAATATTAAATATTAATTAATACTTTACAAAATATGGTTATTTCGGTTTCACTACATAAATTAACTATATCAGCTCTGAATAACTTTTCACTGAAGGCTGATATCGTTTCATATCATTCGTATTATTATTAAGTCTACGCCTAAACTTCACTTTGTTTAAAAATAATTCAAAAATGAGTGGAATCTTTGTGTTGAATTGGAATTTTAAATCTATTTTAAGATTCCCATAACCGGATTTTTTAATTTTTATTTTGCTTTAATATTTTAGATGTGATATTAATACTTTTCGATGATATTTTAATCTTCTTGGCAAATTCTGGTGGCAAAAATGAGAAGTATATTTTCTTCGATCGAGGCACAGCAGGGGTTTGTCCATTTTTTTTTATTTTAAGCTATTTGTTATTTAATATATAAGAATAAAACCAAAATGGTATAGTTATTTACAAATGTAAATAATGCAATAAAAGAATGTAATATGATAATTTCTTTTGAAGTGCTCTGTAATTGGTTTGAATAAACTGATTGTTCGTGATGCTCCTCGAAGCACATCTCTATTTTTCTTAGTGGCAGATGATCCTTGTTTCGATCTTTTTATAGTTAAATTCCAATCAAAGAGCGATCTCGAACAGTGGAGAAAAGCAATTGAAACAGCTAAAGAGATGGCTCCTAAACATGGTTTGTAACACTTTTGCACTTTTTTATTTATTCAAAAAATTCGATATTCGAAAAGAATTTTGAATTTAAATTTTTGATTTAAATTTTATTTTATTATCTTAAATTAAATTTTCGATTAAATTTTATACGGTCCTTCGATTTCGAATTGTTTGTAATTTTCATGATTAATTTGCCTAATGATGTCTTTTTAAATGTTAATAAAAATCATACACCGTTGACATTCGTTAGTGTCATTGTCGTGTAATGTTTTTCCTATTTATTATACCTGTTAAATGAGAGAAAAGAAAGAAAGAATTATTAAAATATCGTTGAAATGAATGGTAAGAATTAGTGTTTGAACAAAATTCTTATGTTTATCATCATTAAACCTGTACATAAATACACTTAAAATTTGATGTTCTTCTTCTCAACAATCGTCGTTGATCACCGACTGAAATATTATTAAATTTTTGCTTCGGGCAATTTATTTTGTCAGTGATATCAAACGTCAATTACAAAACGTTCGATTTATCACCACAATTTTAGTGTCAGTGATAATGCACTTTGTATTGATGATTTTTATTGTAAAAATTGTTGTTGTCGAAATAATTCGAATTCCATTCAAAAGTATATATTATTATTAGTATAGAGTCAGTTTATACTGTAAATGTTGCAAATTACAATATTAAAATTAAGAGAATTGTTTAAAGCATTTGGGTAACTGCAATAATAATGCAGTGATGTATTAAGAAACATTTTTATTTAAAAATAAAATATCATAAGGTATCATAAATATCATAAAGTGATTTCTTAATAATTTATTGTATTCATTTCTCACACCACTCACCATTTCTGAGTTCTATTAAAATGAGATCCATTCGACTGAGAATCATTTGGTAATAGAAGCACTAATAGTTCTCCACACGTGCATTTAGTGATAGGTTTGCTTAAACGCATTATGATTGGTCTTAGTCGAACAATGTATCCACTATGGTACCCTCGATCTATATGCAAGACTTATCACATCTATATAAATAATTTCACTTTATTTAGTAACATCATATGTTTCTGCTATATTGTATTGTGATATACTTGCATTAACTCATCTTACATATTTATGAAATATAATGAAATTTGATTCTTCTTTATTTCATATTTCATATTTTTATTAAAAAAGTGATTTTTTTTAGAGAGATTGGTTTTATAGATAGTACAACACTTTTTATTCAAAAATTTTTATAGTCCGACGAGCATTGAAAAATACAGAAAACAGTGGTGATTTAGAAGAGAAGAAATATAATGCGGAATTTGCAGCATGGGAAAAGGAATTATGGAAAATTTTTGGTAGGTTGGTTCAAATTTAAAGTGAAGAATCATTTCTTTTTATTATCCATTTAAAGTCGAAAAAATTTTAATGAATTTTTATTTATAGAAAAGCGCAAAAAAGATGAGAATGAATTATTAAAATATGTGGAAAGTAGACTTGATTGGTTCGATACAGTTCGACTTCATTTACGAAAAATTCCTACTATTGAAAGATCGGATCTCCGAAGATCTGTGCCATCAGAAAGAGTTAGCCTCAATAATTGATGATACATGCCGACTAGCGATTTGTTAAATTACAAAAAGAATAGCAAATCTAGAAAAAGTTTCTACCTGTTTAAATTCCAGCCATGGTTTAGCATTTTTTAGAAATGTCAGGTGGTGATATTCTTCATTTATCACTCTATCAGCAATATCAAATTGCCAACAATTACATAATTTTAGATGAAAACAATGATAAGAAAAAAATTCACAGAGCTGCGATCGTCAAGACAAACTTGCCTAAGCAAAGGTCATTATTTTGGTTTGGCTTAGCTAAAAATTTAAGTGGGAGTTTATTTATGTTCGCTAAATGAAAGTTTTTTAATTTGCAGTTGCCAAACGAGCTGAACGCTTATTTGAAGATGATTTATTATCATTCTTTGATGATGCATACGATGCTAATATTGCTGGATCAGATGCAAGTCACTCTACTGACCAGAGCGAAAGTGATGATGGACGTATGAGGCTTCCTCGTCGTAATCGTACATTTAATGGTGTCAGTGAGCGCCGTAAAAGTATATTCGAAATTTTATCAAATTTTCCTTTTTATCTTTATTTATCATAGTTAAGTGATAATAATATAGAAATTGAGATATTAAAATATTTTTTATATTTTTCAGGATACTCACTTCGCCGACACACCACAGAGCCTAAAATTGCTGAAGGAAGAATTGTTGAAGAGGGCGATAGTTCTGAAACTGGAGAGGAAATTCACAGGTTACCGGTATGTCATTTTCTTGATTTTTTATTTCTTTGAATCTTCGAATCATTGAATTCTTTGAATTTTTTTAATTTTTCGTTTTAATAATAGATCCTTTAGACGTTAATTATATAATTTTGCTTATGAATGAAACGAAAAAAAAAAAATTAATAAATAAACTAATGTTAAATTAATGTTTAATTAAATTAAATATAAATTAAATTTTAATGTTTAGCTTGGGTTGAGCTCATCAGCACGACGTGCAGCAGTTAATATAATCCGTGAAAATGCTCGCCTAAGGGTTGAAAACAATCAGCTCAGGAGTGAAATTGCCTTGTAAGAATTTTTAAATTTTTATTTATTAAATTTAAATTTTTAGTAGCGTTTCATCCCTTTAAAAATTGATTGCGTTCATTCAAAATCATTAATTAAAGCAATAAATAATCTTAAATAAGATTAATACATAATTTATAGTCGTGAGTTAATGATTTCCTCAATGAAAACGAAACGTTGTACTGCCGTTCCAGCGAATGCTTTGGAAGCTCTTCGGAAAAGGCAAAATCAGTTACAGTCTGAAAAATTGTCTTTCCAGTCGTATTGCGATGCACAGATGGTTGATATTAAACAGTTAAGGGCTGAACTCATAGAGAAAGAAGTTGGTTCCTCAAATCTTTTGGTTTAAAGAAGTACCAAAATCCAAGTTAATCGATTTCCTCATTCCACTGAACGAGGCATTTGATTTGGGAGGATGAAAAAAGTCTATCCATTTTCATATAAAACACGATAATGGTTTTTTTCTGGTTAGGTTTATTTTATAGGCTATTAGCATAATAGTTTTTGCTAGGATGTCGCATTGGACAAAAGTGCAGATAACTCCATAATATCTGGATTTCTTATCGATGGTGGGTTCGAAATTTCTTTATTTGAGGATAATTTCATTGTTATCAGTTATTTGTTATTTTCATGGTTATCAATTAATCATTCTTCGCCCATTCAAAGCTTATTTTTCAATCCTATGTTAAACGCCATAAATAAAATGATTCTATGAATATTTATATTTAACAATATTTAAATTAGTAATTTCGAACCTTTTCCTCGCACTAATTTTGACTCTTTTATTTCCAGCAATTTAGTTTAATTCTTTGTTATGAATATCTTATTTGACTTAATGATTTTCGATTACTGGCCAAAGTATCTTTAACTTTAAAGTATCTTTATCTTTAGCTTCTCATATTTTAAAGTTGTTTTTTCAAATCATATTCATCGTTATTATTTAAATGGCTTTCCGAGAATTATCTCAAAATGTGGAAATATTATTAGTGTAAATTACAAATTAGACAAAATATTATGTATTTTTTTTGTAGCCCTCTTGGATTTGAAAGATTGATTTATTTTTCCATTCTCTTTTATATTTTCTTTTTAATTTTTAGAGTTGTTTATTGAAATTTTAATTTTAATTTATTTAGCTACTAAAGGAAACTTTCCATTTTATTTTATGTTCATTTATTTATTTATACAGTAAAATTATATTTTATGCGATAAATTTGTTATTTCAGTTTTGACTTTAATTTTTTTTTTTTAGAAGGAATTAACTGTACGGGAAGACCAATTGCAAGAACAATGGAATAAATTTTATGAAGTTAACACTATAGATAACGTTTCGAAACGACCTGTTGTGCCACAAATAATATCAGCGAATCATAACGCGCCGTCTTTGCCATCGCTTGCAAATCGTTCTAGGTTTATATCTGTCTTTACACTAATAAATTATATTAATTTATTTTATTCACAAATGAATAATTACTTTTTGATTGATTTATTTCCGTATTTTTCATGAAATAATTTTTAAATCTTTCAAATCTATTGCAATGTAAATTATAGGTATTTGATTAATTAGCTTGAATCTTGCAGCACTTCGCGCGTCCATCCAGCAGTTTTATTGAAATCGTCGAGTAATTCATCAATGCCATTACATTTAGCAGAAAAAACTGCAAAAATTAACCGTAACAAGAAATCATAAAGAAATCGCAGTTGTTTTCTTGTTATTTTTATATTTAATTGAAAATTTCACAGATACATTTGATCTAAAATTTTTACATTTTCTCTTATCTTTACTGTTTTTCATTTTTTTTCTTAATTGTAAGTCTCTTTTGTTATTGCTTTTGCTGCTTTATTTTTCTTAGTTCTTAGACAGTTTGAATTATATGCTTGTGGACAATCTTTGGTTTGCTTTGTGGAGAGACCACTTTCATTTGTCGATATTTAAGGTTTTTTATTTTTATCTATTTTATATTAAATTCCTAATTTTTTTCCAGTTTTGTGCAAAATTTTTCGATTCTTTTCTTATTATTTTTTCAAACTTTTTTTAAGAAATTAGACCTGAATTTTTTGCTGTTTTAAAAAGTTTATCTAGTTGTGATAAGCTCTTGCGAGTTCGTAGATATTATTTCTTCATATTTATAAATGAATTGTTCTAGCATCTGATTGATTTTGAGTTACTTTTTGTATAACGGTGATTTTTCTGTGGGAAAATTGTAAATTTCCTCAGATAATTTTTTTTCATTCAATCATCAGAAATTTTCTTGGAGCTAATCATATTTTATTGAATTTTTATAAGCGGTTTGCGACATACATAACTTTCAGATTCATAGTATTTCTGTTTCCAACAAAAAGCACTGTGAAAAAACAGCTTATTTTTCAAGTTTTTTTGCGATTTTTCAATTTTGATTTTGATCATCCTGTTTTTCACTTTTTTTTTTTAAAACTGCTTAATTTTCTTTTCTTTTCTTAATTTTCTTGCACTTTTTCCTTCAGTGTGTTCGGTTAATTATGCCTTTCTTTGAAGAAAAGAATGTTATCATTTGATTCAAGGTTGTTCTAATTGTTGTTCAAATTGCTTATATGATTAGGTGCCCGTTGATTTTTTTATTGAATATTTTTTGGTTGAAGTATTTACTTTAATATTGAAGTTATTTTTGTAAAATATAGTCCTAGTTCTTTATTTTTAAGTCATAAGTTATTTGGCTTATTAAAATTCGTATGAAATATTAAATTCATATGGTTGTTTTAAAGATGGGTTTTTTGACAGATTTCTGCATTTTGTTTTTGCTATATATTTACTTAAATTTCCGACTTTTGTACAATAATTTCTTTAATTTTGAAGAAGAAAGAATTTTTCACCATTTTTTCTTGAAGAGCAAAAAATGCAATTTATCATATTCAGGCATATGCGATATAGATGTGATTGTTCATCATTTTTGGTTAGGGCCACTGACCATTGGAGGAATTTTTACCAGAAACTCATCTAGCCATAGAAATAGAGATGGGCCCAAGCACAGCCCGGATTTTTTAGTGACAGATTTATTGCTGCTGGAGGCGCGGAAGAAGTAACCAGCTATCCATTATGTAAATCTGATAATTTGTAAATTCTTTTTGGTAATTACCACTTAATTTTTCCATTAGTTACCAATCCAAATGAGAAAAAGGATTAAAATTGGATTTCCGCATTACATTGATTTATCTAATCGTGATTATTGCCGATCATAAATGAGTAAGTAAGATGTTATGGAAGCGATGATCAAAAAAAATGTTTGTCAAACGACTGATTTACTGGGAAGCAATATAATCTACCAGGGGGTTCGACCTTGAGGCTACATCGTTCATTGCATGACACCGATTAAAATATTTTAGTAATATAACTTTTCCTCTAGTATGCCAAAATCTTACGTTTTATATTTTATATTGCCCCTGCAAGGAATGGAACTTCAGCATCGGCGCTGCGAATTGAGCATATTTCATTTCGACTTAGTAAAATATTGCCATTGCCAATCGTAATTTAACGACTTTTACATTATAAGGTATTTTAAATTAAATACGAAAGTTTAAATTTAATAATTTCTAAAAAATCCTGCGAATTACTCAGTGTTTACTTATATTATATATGCAAATAGTGTTTTATAATGCAAATAGCTTGAGTTGACTTTTTTTTGCTGGTTAGTTCAGTTCCTATGGCTAGAAATTTTTGCCAGGGGGCCACTTGGTGATAGAAACGAAGGTGAGCAGACGGAACGATCCGGTGCATTGTTACTATAACATTTTAATTTGTTACTATAATATTTTAATTCAACATACAAATTTTATTTTCGAATCAACCGATGAAATAAATTTGAACATCGTAAAATAATATTTTTTGCCTTGTTCAAACCTTTCTTTTTTTGAAGTTTCAAATGGTTTTAGTAAAAATCTGTAAACTTCAGAACTTCTAAAATTTTTCAATTATCTTAAATGCAAGAATTTAATGGTATCGCTCTAAATTTGTCAAAGAAATCATAATTATTCAAAATCACAATTAAATCATTTGAAACCTATTTTAGCAATAATTCATTGGCTAAACGAGGTTAGAAAATAATTATCACTTATCACTATTACCAACTAATTATGTGATGAATAGTTTTAGTTTTTTTGTGGTGATCTTAGGAAAAATTGATATGACCAAACCCCCTTTTTTTATAGTTAATTAATCTATGAATTGAGTATAAAACTGTATGGCATTAATTGGAGCCCTTTACGTTATCAGTTCATCATAATGGTTGTAAACCGATATCGTTTACATTTATCATTGCCATTCAATCAAGATAATTCAATCAAGTTTTCATCTTTATAACCATTTTCTCTAATCATTATTCCTCTCTTCAAATTATACGCACTGTGCGAATTACTTAAAAAATTTTTCTTCGAAATAAAAAAATTAATATTTTTTGTAGAAATATCTGAATTATAAAATGAATTATTTTATAGAATTATTTTTATAAAATTTATTGAAAAATTTAATTTTTTATAAAAAATAAACAAATATATATGAATATAAATATATATATATATATAATGGTAACAAAGATGAATAAATAAAATGGTTGTTGTGGATATGAAAAAAGCAAAAAAGAGGGCTTTTTTTTCGCCTAAATTTGGCCAAAATATTGCCATCATTTCTGGCCTTTTAAATTCATTAACACTATAATTAAAAGTAATAAAAGTAATAAAAGTATAAAAGTAATAACTGTAGAAATTTGAGGAAAATTCTTGCAAAAAACGAAAAATCGAGAAAGATTAAAACGAAAATACTTATTTTATTTAGCGTTAACTAAAGTCCAGAGAAACTCGATTGACGCGATGTCGATGGTTTTTATTTTTTCTCATAGTGGATGTTGGGTATTTTCGCATCATTTAGATTTAAAACCTCGGTAAATGACGAAGTTAATTTCATATGTCCACATGCGTAAGCATATCAATCACTCCATTCATCGATGCAAGTAAATTGTTGATTGTATTTTCCGAAAAAGATGTAAATAAAGATTGAATGTTGACAAATTGTAGTTGAGAATATTTTGTCACAAATCTTTGGCTGATTGATATCTGGCCAAGATCGATATTAGCAGCCAATGTTATAATAATGCTTCTGAGGCCAAGCATTCGTTCGATCTCTCTGGCCAGAGGAAACTTTTATTAAAGTGAAGGCCGGGTGAGGAACAAATGGTTCTCTAGAATAGATTTCGGGTTTTCAACACTTCTATGTGGTTAATCAGCTACAAATTCTCAAAAGAATAGAAATTTTAATAAGTATAGCAAATTTTTTTTTTTCCTTCCAGTATGATTAAAGAAAACTAAATTTTTTTGTAAGATTTTTACAAATCTTTTTCCTAATTTCAGAAGAAGTGATCTGGATTCTACCCGAGGACAAGGGAATAAGCTTACCATTTAAAATTTCGTGTAGTTTCCGCGGTTCGCCTCTATTTCTTTCCCCTAATGACTCACAAATAAAATTTTATCACACTTACAATCAATGGAGTAAGTCATGAAACGATGAACCCTAACCACTTACTTATGCTTAAAAGAACTGGAATATTGTCTATCAACTTCAGCAACATTACTACAACATTACTGAAGTAACTTTTAGCAAAAGAAAAAACAAAAAAAAGAAAAATCCCTTAAATATATTGTTTTCATAGGTATCTTTATTCAGATCGTTATGATTATTTGCAGGTTTGACGGAGATTAAAGCAGTAAAGTGATAAGTTTTAGAATCATCGAAGAGTAAATTTCACCGAATAAATTGTGGTTAAAAATTTCCACATATTCACTTTACCCTATTTTAATTCATTCCAATCAAAATTTGCAAATTCTGAAAATTCGATATTTTAAGATTTCGATTGCTGAATGCAAAAACTCTGAAGCCAAATTGCCAATGTTTCTTAGCCATTTCGCTATTTGGGAAATTTTAAAGCTGTTGAGCCAATAATTTCTCAATTATTTTCAAGACTAATGATAAGAATAAAAAAAGTTTTATTGTAGCATCTTAATAAAAGCTTCCTTTCAGTCCTTCGCTTTATTATTTTTCATCATTATTAATACTGATTAACAAATGATCAATTGGTTTAAAACGCAGTAATGATTTAATGATGGTAAAAATTTATGGTCTATTGCAAGGATTTCTTAATAAGATTGACCATTAAATGTGGAATTTTCCTTAAGTACCGTTTTTCATTGAACTATGCTTTTATTAGGAAATTTCATTATTATTTACTATTATCATTATTGTTTTTATTATTATTAGCTTTATTTTATCTTAAGATATCGTTTAATAATTACCTTATATATTAATATACGAATTTTGAAAAATCTAAACCTATATAATTCTCGTATAGTTTATTATTTTACGCAATATCGTCGAATAATTTTCTACATTAATCCGTTTTCCGAGCGATAAAACTGTTGTGCAATTCGAACTTTATAGTTTCGTTGATTTATAACTATTTGGTATTTAGTGTTTAAATATAAAAAAAGCGAATAGTTCCATAAATCAAGTTTGCGTGTTATTCGTTCAACATGCAATACATCGAAATACAAACACACAAACAATATACAAATTCAGATAGAGTCTCTTTGAATGAATAAATAATTCTTACGAAATGTTTTTCTTCCAATTTCGAAGATTTTCGAATGTTTGAAAATGGCAAAAAATATGGAAGAAATTTCCATGATTTAAATTCACCTATAAAATGAAATTAAATGATCAAATTATTATTAGGTTGGCCCTGCTAATAATTTTGATAGCAAATAATTTTTATCAGAGATCATTTGGCGATAGAGAGATAAGTCACCAGCACGGTCCGGTTAAATTTATCACCTATGACAAAAAATTCTTTTCACTCGATTCGAAATGAGCGTTAATAAGTGTTTACATTTTTAACATTTATTTAGTCAAAAATAAAAGCCATAAAAATAAAAGATTTGTTTTTTAAAGATAACTGATAACTCTGCCCCAGAATTTCATTCATAAAAAAACGAACTAAGAACGTTTGAATAGTTTAGTTTAATGAATTTTCACATCGCCCATTATTTACGGGTAATTAAGCCATGGATAATCGATTATTGAAGAAATTATTAGCAATTATAGTTCTTTATTAGAAATCAAATGTTTTCCCAACCACCTATTGTTATTATTTTAAGCTTAAGCACGAAGAGCAATAATAGTTTCACAAAATCTAAATACCTATGTCTTTTACGAATATCGCAATTGTCTTCGCTTTAATTTGATTCACAATACTTTTTACATATCCAAGCAAGTACCTATAAATGGCAACAAAGAGAATTTTGCATAATTTTGCATCCATGAAAATTTGCATATTTTATCAGTATACCAATTAAATTATCATTTAACAATGGCGCAAGTGATGGTTTGCTTCATACTAAAACAAAAATTATTTAGATCTTTATTATCGGATTGCATAATACAGATGATACTGCATAATACAGATGAAAATTTTGAATTTTCTATTTAATTAACCTTTATTAACCTTTATTACTCTTATTAAAAAATCTAACATATGTATGCATAATACGATGTGTATACATAATTTGTAATTTCGAATTTAGTAGCTGGTTCCATAGGTTACCAGGCAGATACCCTTTCGCCCAGAAATATATTTGAGATTAAAATTCTCTATGATCATGCTCACTATTTCTGGTTAGGCTAGACCTGTTAACTATTAGCAATGTCAGAGAGAAATCCTCTATGTTAAATAAAGTCGTAGCGCTTTACTTTTCCAGCTGATAAATAAAGAATTATTGCGAAACAAGCTATATTATTTAATTGTAGAAGAATGTGGAAAAAATCGCCGATATAAAATTTCATTCAAGTTTCATAGAATTTCCAAATGAAACACTACTAAAACTATTATATAGTTCTCCGAAAAAGAAAGATTTGATGGAACACATTTGGCCAACAGAGTTGGCCTATTGGTACGAGCTAAAAGATTTACCTTTATGTTACTAAGGATTGTTGACGTAGCTGAGTTGTTTATCATACTTTTATAATGCCTTTGGAAAAACTTTGTAGCAGAATTTGTAACAATTCAAGAACGAAAAAAGTTTTTCCTTAAATCTGTAATAATATTTTTAACACCTTAAATAGACGATAAAACTAGTTTTATTTAAATTTTCGCTTGTAATTTTTTATGATCCTTCATCATTTATTTATTTCTTAATGAAAAAGCAATCAACAAAATTATTCTGACTTCGAAAATTGATAATTCCAATTTTATTTGTAATATTGAAAAGTTCGTTTGTTATAGATTTGAGGAGAAAATAAATTCTTCGAGAAAATTTTGAATAAATTAGCAAATCCCCGAAAAAATTATTTATTTCTTATAAATGCATAAACGATTGTATAAGCTTTCAAAGATTGTCGAACGGATAAAGCTGAAGATCAGTAGAAAGAAAGGTCATGCTCAAGATTTTCCAGTTGAATGCAACAGTTTCGCAGTGTTTAGTTAATTAATGTGCATGTCTTAGATGGTTGATTAAATCGCCTCCCGCGGTGGCCTTTTTTGAAGTATCATAATCCTAACATCTCAAGAATACCGACATTGTCTAGACGCCCACTTAACCTTCATCACGGATTAACCGGTCTCAAATACAATTGAATGGAATCTTTTCTAGCATAAATTCCCCAAGATTTTGTTTCTATTTATATACTCTTATTAACAAAATAAATGTTTAAAAATAAAGAATAAAAGTTCGAAAATTTTACCACCAATAATGATTTATTCTATGATTTAATAGAAATAGTAATTGGAATTGTGTTACTTACTGCATAAATTTTTGGAATTGCTGTGTTTAAAATCTAAAACGTAAATATCGCTAAACCCCAGAAAGATTTTAAAAAACACACCGGGGAAACACCATGAAAAGCCTTTAAAACTAAAAAAAATCTTATACATTTATTATTTATTTATTATCCCTTTTAATAAATTCACGAGAAAGTTGTTTGGCAAATAAAAATCTGATAAAATGAATCAAAATTATATTTATTTATCTAGAATAAGATTACTAATTTTCTATGTTGATATAAGTAAGATAAAATCGAATTTCATAGGGAAATATTTACTGCGTTGGTAGTGTGAATCGCAAGATTAGTTAAGTAAATATTTCACGAAAAATTCAAGAAACCTTCTTCTAGATTTACCACATTTTCATTTTCTCATATCGATTTCAATGGTTTATTTCATATTCAATAATGTATTATTAGCTCGAATAATAATAGCTCGAATTTCAAAAGATTTCGCAGATTTTTCACAGAGAATTTTGAAAAAAAAATCGCTCAAACGAAGTTTCATAAACGTGGTACACTAGAACAATTGTTAAATAATAGATTTATGTTTTGTAGATTCTGATGCAGTTGATTTCCGGTACGGTGTCGTATTAGGAAGCATCCCACTGTAATAGCTAATTGCTAATATTTTCGAGACAAACCAGGAGGGGTTAAAAAAAGAACAGCATTTCCTGCACGAATTAAAAAATTCATGTGATTTATTTCCATTTACTATTTAAATAAACGATTATATAAGCTTTAAAAGATCGCTGGACGGCTAAAGCTGAAGATTAGTTGCTTAAACAATCGGATAGTTTCTCTTTAAATAATCGTCGACGTAATTAAGTTATTTGAAATACACACTCGAAAATATTTGTTAAGCGAATAATAAATACTGGTATATTTGAAGTAAATTTAAGATAAATGGCGATATTAGCGGCGTTAGACATGATGTTTTAGTTTTAAGTTAATGGAGAAGCACTTGAAAATTCTACTTGAAGTGGAAAGCTTTTGCGATTAATTTTTCAGCGCTTTATATACCGACAAATGTATTAGAAACGATGATGGTAATGTTTACTTATTGTCAACCTTAGTAAATTATTTCAAGTCAAATTACTGAAGACAGTGATGAACATCGTTATTAAGGAAGTAAAGAGGGTTTTTTGGCACTCTACTCTTCGAACTAACCAGCTGACCAACAAACTATATTAATATTGCAATACTATAAATTTTTATTAAATTCTCTTTGGAAAATTGAAAATGACTTTCTAAAATTTAATATTTTTTCTAATTTCCTTCATTTTTTTTTCAATTTCCTTTAAAAATAAATGAAAAACATTTTACCAATTCTGGTTGAATTCCCTTTAATAGTTTATAGGACCAGGAAAATTTTGTTAAAAAAAATTTCACTTGAAGCAGCAATTGCTTATTTTTTTTATCCTCAGCATCTTTTTTAATTTTTTTTTTCGCTAAGCATCGTTTATTTATCAAAATGTTCTTCATAGTTACAACGGATCCTAAGGACCAAGATTAATGCTTAGAATATGGCATCGAGCGGTTCGACTAACCAGAATGTTAAATATTAGTAAATTTACTTATCTTTACTTATAGCGTAAATATAACAAATAGGGATTTTAGATTTAAAAAAAAATTTTCGCGAGATATAAGAAAATTCATCGCCTTTTGCTTGTTTTACCTGAAATTTCCAGAAAAAAAAATTATGATCTAACTCGCGGTTCGAGTATTATGAGGCACAGTTATAAACGACCGTTTATTGCTGGTATTAATTTCCCTTTAATCTTTGTATCGAATAGATTTATCCTTAAAGCTATTGAATATTAAAGTTCTTTTTGTGTATTTGTGTATTTGTTTAAAGAATCGATGACATTCTTCTTCATTGTAACAATCTTTTATCCATTCATAATTATTTTTCTTTAATTTTTATTAATCTTCATCCACTGTGAATAAGAGGTATTTTTTGGATCAATCACCATATTGAAATTATTTGTGAAGATTATAAAGTTCTTTTTAAATTTCTGTATACTTGCATTCCGCGTCAACAAGTTTTGATTTGGCTGATTGCGGTGGCTACTTTCATTTTAAAATTACTTGGTGATAAAAATAAGGATTCGCAACATCATCGTGATTCTAGAGAAATTTGAATATCTCCTATTTAATCTCCTCTAATAAATATTAATAATTTTTCGAAATTCCGATACAGGACCAAACGCAATTGTTTTATCAGTGATAAAGCTTTGGAAGTGGTGATTGAAATGACAATTGTGATAGCCTAGTTGAAAAGCTGTTATTACCACCCATAGTTCCAAGCGTGACGTTCGATTCAGACGATCCGTAAAAGCTTATTAAATTTACTACAGTTGATCCATAACAAATCGACTTCATCAAATATAGATTTGCGCTACGATGTATTTTTTATAAAAATTATAAAAAATTAAAATCCTACTCCTGGGAAATAAAATGAGTTAATTCTCACGAAGCACCGTAGTCTCTTTTATTTTTCATCGCGACGCTCACAAAGAAATAACTTAAAATGGTGCTCGACCGCATCACAACAATTAAAAATCATGAATATCTCATGCAAATTTGATCTTATAAATTAATTCATAAAGCCACTCGAAACGAGTTAATAATTTTTTTGAAATAATCCAGAATTTTCTTCATTTATAGTTGACTTTTTCTCATTTGGCCTGCAAATAATCGCTATCGCCTGTAGTCATTTAAATTAGCAAAACAATGATAAGTAATTTATGCTTAATTCCTCTATTTCTGTAATTGCTCGTTTATATATATATATATATATATGTACTATTTTATTCTTCAGAATTCTTCTTTTAAGTTGTATATACCAATTTCTATGTAAATTAATTAATAATTTATTAACGAGCTTATAGAATGGCTCATAGGATTTTTGCTCTCATTTTAGATGCTCGGCTTCTATTCCCGATAAGAGTAAATGAATCTTCTAAATAAAAAATCAGGTAATGCTGGCAACTCATCTATATTTCTATTGCCAAGTGGCAAAATCCACCTATTTGTTGGCGAAATTTACCGGGTCAAAATTTAACAAACCGTTGGAGTGAACTTAGCCAGAAATGGTGAGTGCTCTTATGACGAGTATGACCAACGATCTTGCTTTTAAACATTTTTTAATTCTTATTCTTTATTTCATTAAAAATTGTACCATACAAAGTGCGCACAAAAAAAAAAAAAAACATATTTCAATAAATTTTCGATACCCACTAAATTGACAAATATTCTCATAACATTTACCCATAATGAAAATTTTTTGGAAGACTGTTTAAGTATTCTTTTAACTAATTTATTAAAACGACCCTCGTCCATATAAATGCATTTCATCGTAAATGGTGCAATTTAAAAATTTAAGAATCTGTGAATATCGACACGAAGTGCTAAAATGGAAGTGAATCTGTAAGCCGATATTCACGACGAAGAAAAATGATTGGCTAATCATTATAGAGCTGCAGAAATATTGAGGAATTCAACTGCAACTTACTTTTTCTCGGTTAATATTCAAGATGTATTTAGATGTAAGAAATTTTTAGAATAGATTCATAGATCCACTGGGATTTTATCATTCGAGCATAGCTAACTACTAAACATATAGTAAAAGCTGTTTGCCCACAAGTTAACAAAAAGAAATACCAAGTAGGAAAATAAATAAACAATATTAAAATGAAGAAGACAATAATGTAATGAGCATATACATACTGAAAAAGAAGCAAATAACGAAAGAAACATAATAAGCTTTCTAGCCCAAAAATATTTTTTAACGCTTAAAATAAATTTTGCGGATTGACAGATTTTCAACTGATTAACTGATTATTTATCATAAAGAGATTGAGGATAGGAATATTTGAAATAAAATTTAATTAAATTGCTATTGAATTATTAGATAAAACTTTTTGAACCACCAATTAAATTGATTCGCGAATTTTGTTTAACTAAAAAATAATTCAGAAAAAGGGAATGAGAAAATTGGAGATAACTTTCGTAGTACACTTAAGCTTTTTTATTAACGAAACTAAACAAAGTTATACAATAAAAAATCACCGGCAATGCAGATAAAATCAGAAAAAAAAGAAACACTTTGCGAGCCAAGAATTGCAAGTTCCTTTCATGTGAGGATAAAGAGCCCTTCTTTATGTATAAAAGACTTGAAAATTCGATACCTAATAGTTACTTTTCATTCCTAACTTTAGGGCCTAGAAAAACATTAATTATATAAAAGTGAATAATAAAAAGAAGCGGTTAAACTGAAGACAATGATGAAGACCGGATAAGGTGTTGGTGCAATTGAAAGATTTTTCCATTTCTTCGATCAGTCTAAGATAGTGCGATTACTGGATGCTTGGCTGCTTAGCTCGCTTTCTCCAGTTTGTTCCAGTCTTTAACCACCAATTCCCATTTAAAGAAAAGCATTCTGCCATCTATTACAACACCATCGCGCCGATTTCCACGCTTAACAACTTAAAGACCAATTGTTCATTCAATTCATCGTCAATGCTTAAAATTATAGAATGAAAAAAAAATAATTTTTCTATAAATGGGTCGAACAGCAAATATCAAAAAATTTTGCAAAAATCAATCGACAGAAAGAAACTTACAGCGTGAATTGCTCATCGAACCATCATTCACCACCACTTTTTCAGTCTTTCTTCGAATCAGCACCTTTCTTCAAATTATTTCCATCATTTGTATTTAACACTGGACTACTTGCTGGATCATACCACTTACCTAAATTGAAATGTAATAGTTACTTACAAATTTCAGCTTAGTCGTTAAAATAGTAAAGTAATGTCGCGAATGTATTTAACGGTTGATACTTCTTTAATAGGTCATCATGAACCGTGCGGTTGTAATAAAAAACCCATAAAAAGCAATTTACGCAGTAATAAATATCAGAATCATCTCATGCCTTCATAAACTTATAATAACATTTTTCAATAAAACAATTGACACTTGCCAAAAAAAATTCAGTCCAATACATGAGAGGGGTCTGCATGAAAATGATATTTCTTTTCAGTTAGATTTACTGCAAAATAGCGAGTAACTTTCGTCGAACTGCAGCGAAGGCTTTCAATTTAAGTTGTTTTTAAAGATTTATCCTTGCAAATCAAATGATGCAATATCATTAAACATTCCAGTTTTTATAAATTTCCTTAACTCATTAATATGTCTAATCATTAAATGCCATGCGATTAACGATACTTCCTTACAGTTTATCCAAATAAAATATTGAAAAAATCCGAAAAAGACAGCCCTAGAAAATTCGGTCAATAAATTTTAAAATTATGACAATAGACCGATAAAAAAAATAAAAACTTTATAACGTTTTCACTGGACATTTGTCATTTCTATTTTTCTTATCAGCAACTGTCAAATGTTATCAGAACATTGGTTGTCTTAGGGTTTTTTATCAGAAATTCACCTTCATTAAATAAATACATACATCTGCAGTTTCAAAGTCTTATTTACAAACTTATTTACAAGCAATTTAGATTAGAGAAAAATTGCAAGAACAAACCATTTGACATTGATGTCGCAGTCGTTTGCAATGGTTGTTGTGGCGGAAGTACAGATTTAATTAATATAGGATTATATAACAAATGGGATGGTGGTGGCGGAGGTGGTACTGGTCGAAGAGGAGCAGTTTGTGCCATCATCGAAAATAAATCAGGCCTGTGATAATTTGACGGTAAACGATGCATCGCCAATGACATTTGCTGATGCCACTGATTCAGATTCAAAAAAGGTGAGTTAGCTGGAAAATTGAATGAGCCACCCATCAACTGTATAGAATTTGATTGATGTGATGCCGAATTTTCATCTAATTTAGGATTGGATGACGATGAAGTTGGCTGGTCTTTTTTATTCGAGCTTGAGCTATCATTTGAAATCGTTTCAGCTATCGACCAAATTTTATTCTTTTTTGATAAAACATCATTATTTGCATCTTTATTAGATGCAGATGTTTTTTGCGGACTTGTTGAATGAAATGTCTCATGCATCGACGATTTTATTTGGCACTTTTGCTGAGCTGTTTGAGAAGAATCTTGAGGGCTCGAACTTGTTTCTAATTTTTCTGTAACGAAAAATTTTTTTGAATATCAGTAAGATGAATGGAACTTCTCAATGAAAAAACTTATGAAAATCGATAAGATTACTCTCCCTTGTACAGAGAAAAGCTGTTAATTATAGAAAATCTTAATCGAGAATAATTGGAAAGCTGAAATTTTCGAAGAAACGATTATCAATCATTCATTAAGGTTTGTTTTAAGGTTTGAATAGAACTGTTCACAAAGTACCTTTTTTAACTTCATAGTTATCAGTAACATTTTCTGAACCACTACTGGAAGGACGCTCACACTGGTCTGCTTCAACGGCGTCAATATCCGCAAAATCGTCATCATTATCATCATCAACGTCGTCGTCATCATCACCCGGCCTATTTGGTGGTGCCCAAGTCATTTTATTCTCCTTTTTTAATCGACGCCTTGCATTCGCAAACCATGTCGATACCTTTAAAATTGTATTACATGACGATTAATTTATTAGAAGAGAATAGTTTAATGTTTAAGGACATTAATTAATATTGACTGTAAATACCATTTAAACGATTGATTCGCTTAATTCTAATATTTTTTTTCTTGATTTTCATGAGTTGAGGGACATTTCAACACTACTCTTCGTATTCTCGTTAATTACAAAACCGATTTTCTAATTTATTTTTGAAGTGCTTAGTTTTACAAAATTTATCGTGTATTCTTAAAAATAATAATTCATACATTGATTGGTGACACCTGATTGTATAAAAACATAGTGACAAACTTCCTTCGCGGCAAATATTTCACAAAATTTTTGAAAAAAAACTCCAAGAGATTCATATATTTTTTCCAAACAAAAACAAACAGGATTCTTGCTTAGCTAATTTATGCACTTCGGTAGCGATTAAAAGAATCAGAGACAAATCTATTTTTTTATAAATTTCACTACTTTATATTTTTTAAAAATTTGGAAATTTTTCTAATATGGATAAAAAGTAAAGGAAATTCAGAGTAAAGAGCAAATTAATTCCTCAGGCGTAATCTTATCAGGCGTGCTTGATGAAATGATTTATTTGCAAGGCAACATAACTAATATTTTTGTAAGTATGGAAAAAATTATTTCACCATTTCAGCGTGAAAAAAAAATTTATCAACTTCGTATATATTTATATATTTCGTATAGAATTTTTTTAGGATTTATTTTCGAATAAAAAAAGGTCATTTTAGGCTATTTAATTAATAATATATATAGCGGTTTATGTGGGCGATAATTACACTTAATTGCCAAACTAATAATATTTTTCATTTGTATTGGATTGGTTATATCAAAAATAAATATTCCCTTTAATTCATCATTAGTGCTAATTTATAAATAAAAAAATCCAAGAAATATGCAAATTTATAAAAAGAGAAATCTTCGGTCGAATATGAAATGAAATATTTGTGTACAAAAATATGAAATATTACTGGGACATCGCAAAAAAGTCACAAAAGTTTATTTATTCGTTAAATAAAAGAAGACGTAAAGCATTTCATTTTTAACGCTGCAGTAAGCGATTAAGCTTATCTCTCTATCTTTAACTTAGGATTCCTTTGAAGATAAGTATTAAAAATTTGTGAACAGATAAGGAAAAAGATAAGGATTTTTGGAAAAACATGTCGAAGATCTGCTTAAAAGCTGAAAAATATCAAATTATTAAATGCGAAATTTCTTGATGGGGCGAAACCTTGGTGGTTGTTTTTTAAGGTTTTGTTAGTTCAAGCAGGAAGAAAGTGGTTATGATTACGCTTAAAAGGCATTCTTTACTAAAAATTATTAACGACTGAAGATAAGAAAAGATATACTAAATTGGCTAATGATCTGGATTCGTCACGAAAACCATCAAAATAGCTAAAAATATTACAGAAATAATTACAATCATAAATAATTGATGTAAGATAACAAACATGATAACGAATATTAGATTAGAATCTCGGCTGATCATAAAATATGACATTTGTTAATAATTATATGACCATGGGACCGAGCATTCAGAAATATTGTTATCATATTTTTATCTACAAAACATAGGTGTAAAATGAAAAAAGAGATGTATATATAGGGCTTTTAGCACCGAGAAAAGTGGAATGGCTATATTTAATGTGAACCCTTATTTTAATGCTCGTATAACAATATCCATCGAAGGATCAAACGATATTCAGAAAAAAATAAACCATTTTCTTCGATTCCCTTACCAGTTTATATAAACGAATAATTTTTTAGCTCAAAATTTAAAATTCCATCTAAAAATCCAGATTTCTCTGTAAAAAAAAGCCGAAAAGAACTCTTGAGAAACAAAAATATTTCTTCATCGTTAAAAAAACAAAATGAAAAATGACATTCAGTTTTTAAATTTTTTCTAAACGAATTGAAGAAATGTAAATGCTTAATTTAATGTTAAAAAAATGTATTAAAACCTATTTCGATTTGAAATTTGTCAAAAATAAAAAAAAAATAATTAAAGAAATAATTAAAGAAAAATCTTATGCAAGCAACAACTACGCAGTTATAAATGACTTGCATTAATCTTTTACAAACCATACCAATTTTATTTTAAACAAAATAACATGGAACAGCAATTGCATGCCTTAATTTTCTTTAAGCTTATTCTCATTCCCCTTAATTTAATTATCGGTTTATAATCCTTTACAAGCTTACAAGTCTTTACGCTCTTGAAATGTCTTAAAATAGTGGTGGGAATTATGCGAATCCTTCTAATTTTCCTATAATTTTTTAGCTTCGATAACCTAATGAGTCTGAATTATGGTAATCGATTCGATAACGTATTGGTAATATTTACCTAATTACATTAATGTGATTATTGTTCACCCTTTTATTAACGACTAAAATATCACCATAATTTCGTTGTGCCGTACTTTATAGCAATATTTTACTTCCCACCGCATTCTACCAACTGAATACGATTTTTTAAACCCATAATTCTTTAAGTCATAATCCTTGATGCCTTTATTTTATTTGTTTAATACTTGTTCTTCTAACTTGCCATTGCCATTTCTGGTTTGATTACGAGAATCAGTTACAAACAAACTAGAAATGAGAAACTCTTTCGTCAGAGAGACGTTTGTAAATAGAATATAGGTATGTTCACAACACAACACCACTCAGATTTTATTTTTAATAATATTATTCGCAGCAAAGGAAGGGAAGAGATTATGGCATCACCACGAATCCTGCTCCCTTCCCACCGCCTCCTTTTTCAATAAATTTTCCTAAATTCTTTTCAAAGAAAAACTATAATGTGATTCTGGGATTTAGACTATTAGTAAAACTATGAATAAAAATTTTTAAAAAAAGATTGCACCTGAGTAAGAGTCATTTTTGTTAAAAGAGCGAGCATAATTTTTTCAGCTTTAGTTGGATAAGGATTTTTTCGATGTTCATTGAGCCAAGTCTTTAGATGAGCCGTTGTTTCACGTGTAGCATTTTTTCTACGTGAACCATCTAATCCACCGATATATGGATGATATGACGACATGTTAGGATCATAAAACAATCCTGTAAAACCAGCGCCGCCGTTCATCAATTCGGGCTTCATCTCCTGAAAAACGTTTTCGACTATAAAATAATTGATTAATATAAAATAATCATATAAATATATGCATTTTGCAAAATAAAACGGGTTTGTTTGTTATTCAAAAAACCATAAACCATGCTTAAATTAAAATATCTGGTGGTCCTCTACCATTGCGATAAATTGATTTGCTGGACCTACAACCTGAATATTACTTTATGTAAAGTCATAAGTGCACCTGATGATCTCTGAGCCTATTTAGCTACTGCGATGAAAAAATTTTCGCCTTAAAGTTGTGAAAGTTTTGGAGGATGATTCAGGGAAAATGCACTTAATGAAATTTCTGTGAGATAATAATTATTTTATTGTGCTACCTATCATATCAGAATAATGTTGATTTATGATTCATAAAAATATTTTAGAAAAACTCATCAATTCATCAACACAGTAATTAGGTACCTCATTTAAGGAATACAATGTATTAATCAGCGATCATATCAGTAATCTTCAACAAAGAATTCAAAGAATTCATTTGTGATATTTCTATGATAAATATTTAATTGCGCTAAAAATCAGGATTTTACAGAAGGTCGTTCGAATAAAATATTAATAAAATGAACCATTGAATGAATAGCCGGATAAATGGGAAATTGTAGACCATGACTTAAGCCATGATTCATGGCACGGAACATTGCATCACCGGTATGATGGAAAGGAAATAATGGACCACTAGGAGTTAAAAAGCGAATCGAATCACCAGAATTATCAGGATTGTTCGCCGAAGAAATTGTTGCAGCATCATTTTTTGAAGTGGATTGCGATGAGATCAACTGAAATAAACATATTAACTGGTTGAACTCTAATTATCAAAAGAAACTTGAAGATATTTGAAGACTGCAACCGAAAAAGAACTCAACTAGAGGGCTACTATGGCTCTATCTTACAATTCATGAGCATGAATTTTGGTAAAACCTCATCTCTTCGAATCTCTTAGCGTAAATTTTTTCATTAATTTATCAAGCTAATATTCAATATTCAGTCGGCCACTGCACATGTAAATCTCTTATATTGCCCATAATTAAAGCTGATAATAGTCCAGTAATCTAAAAGCATGTTCAATTTCTTGCTCATGATTACAACTTCAACCAATATTTCACAACTTTTCTATAGATTCCACCAGATAAGCGATATAAGTACTGAACCAATTCTTAAAATCTCGATTAAAATTTTTAAACAATTCTCGTGAATATACTTCGATATTAAGTCGTACTTGATTATTATTGGCAAAAATTATTAGCTTTGTCAAGGTCAAGTTGATCTGCTAAGAAAAATACAAAAAATACTTGCTGATTCGAACAAGAGATACCAACTTTAACCTTTGCATGAAATTTCTTTCCTATACAGACTCTTAGAAATCTTTGCTTTTTCTAGCCCACAAATCAATAAATTATATCATTACTGCCTGAAGCTTGTATGAATTCAAAATTAAATTGAAGACAGAAAGTTATAAAGTCTTCTACATCGATTCGAAATTTGCTATTTGCATCGATTTTTACTACATTTTACAATTTTTACCTAACTGTTTCTGATTTTAGACAAAAAAAATATATTCTTTTTTTAACTGCACTGATAGTTTACTTCGTGCCACAGCCTGGATTATTTAGTTTTGTGTGGTTCTGAAATTCATCTCCGATTCAAATCTCCAGCTTTTCAGCAATCCTACTAATCATTATCAATCACTCCGAAGTCTATCGATACTTTCAAAATAATAAATTAGAAAAAACTTCTATCGAGAAGACTGCAAATTTTTTGCAAAATATTAAAAACTTAAGTTTGAAACTTAAGTTTTATCTTTCATTTGATATGAGGGATTTGTACGGTAATTAACTATAATGGAGAATCTTATCGATAAAAACAAAAAAAGTAAAGACTAGATGGATGATATCAAAGAAGAAACCGATGTAGAACCGATGCTGTGACTTCTAACCTTGATTGGTGTAATATGAAAAGACAGGTAGGTTTAAGTCAAATGAAATGATTATAGATAAGCGCATGAATGTAGATATTTACAAAAAACTTTCGGCATATTTTTGAACTTTGGAATTAATACTTTACTTAACATGCGTATTAGAAATATTAGAAATAGAATGGCTCAGTAGGTTGTCTCTTATTCAAGTAAGCATCGGTTCTAAGGCCCTATTTTCGGCCACCTACTTGAACCTATTTCGTGTCAAGGAATTTGGTAAAATTTATTTGGTGTAGCAAGCTTAGCCAGAAATAATGAATGCTTTTTTAAAAAAAAAATTATCATTATCAGAAAAGTTAAGATTACATACACTTCTTTGATTCTGCGAAATAAAATATCATTTTTGTTGATTCTAAATCTTAAATGAAATCTTGGGAAAATTCATGTTTCTAAAGTACACATATCAATTTACCAGTAATGAATGCTCTGATCTATGACAATTTCATTACAAAAATATTAAAGAAGTGATTATAAATTAATTAATCATATCGTTAACTTAACGCTAAAATGAGTAAATTTATATATATACATATATATATATAAATTTTTTTCTTCTAATAGAGCGCACCATTTTCTAGTTTGACTAACTCTACTGGCAACTAGATGTTGAGAGGTTTAGATAATTCTTTCATCAGCGATTCACTTGGGAATAGATACAGATGAGTTCTCGGTATATCTATATATATATATATATATATTGGTCAAAAATGAATTTAGTTTAAAATAGAAAATTGGGAAAATTGGGAAAATAGAAGTAACAAAAGAATTAACAAAATTTATACTAAAATATGTTAGCCTTTTCAGAGAGAGATAAAAGGCTTTTGCCTCCGGTAAGATTAAACCTATATAGTCATTAAAAACTCCAGCTAATATCAATCTAATTTTAGCCACTTACTTGCACTAAAATATATATGTCTTATTGGTACAATCGACACATAGTACGTTTACTTCCAAAATACTTTCAAAATTCTAGATTCTAGATCACTGAAGCTTTGTTAAGTAAAAATGATAAAGTATATTGTACCACAAACTTTATGTCAATTTTTGACCACATTTTTCCTATTTGCACAATAATGGCAAAAAGTGCCAATAAAAAAGTAATAAAAAAGAACGATAAAAATTCAAGCAAAATTTTTGATAATAAGAAATTTGTTTGTGATGATAAAAATCGTAATAAAATAATGACTTCATAACGATTATCAACATGAACATAATGTATTACATAGATTCACAAATATTTTTCACAAATAGTTATTTTGGTTAAATATTAATCAAAAATTTTTTTATTTTTTCTGCAGATGTTTTAAGAATTTAAGAATTTAATAAAATAAAAAATTAAAAACTAATCATAAAAATTACATAATTTTATAATTTCGCTTAAATCTAACAGATGTCAATAAGGGTTTTGCATTAAGGGCAAAATGAGTTGCTGCTCTCCTTTCGGGGTGTGAATGTTGATTCAACTCGAGGTAGGAATAAAAAAACCTGCCTTTCGAAAATAGTATTCAAAAGCGACTCCTACTTTTATCGCCAAGTGACTCCTTGGCAAAATTTGCCCAGTTCTACAAATCAGTAAGGCAAACCTAACAAGAAGTAGTGAACGCTCTTTAAAGGAAGGAAAGGACTCGCCCATTAGTAAAAACTTTGCGGAATTTGTCAATTTTTAATAATAAATTTTCATACAGAAATTATTATAAAATATTAAATTTGATTTATTCATTTTGAAATTAATAGATGGAAGTTTACAGTTTTTTGTTAATTATATAAATAAATGAATAAATGGCTAGGGCTCACTTATTTTTCAGCACACCCTCCAAGGCTACTCTGCCTTTTTCAATACCGTTACCTTTCTAAGATCCCCAGGGCAAGTATATGTGTATATAGATAATAATAATAATGGAAAAAACATAAATAAAATAAAAATTTATAAATAAAAAATCTAGTCACATATAATTTACCTGAGCAGTATATGCAGCTGCAGCTGCAGAAGGATTAAAAGTCATTTTCCTGGAATATGCCTCTTTGCAGCATGATTTTATTTTATAACTAGTGAAAACTGAAAATTTTAATTAAAAATATTAATTACTTGGCCAAAATTTCATTAAAAAAACGATAATAGCAAAAAAACAATAAATAGCGATGGACGATAATAATCACTTGATGGAAACATCAATAAAATCTTAATGGATATAAATATACATTCGAGAGAAAGGAATAAACCTTTCAAAAATCCAGGTGATATTAGCGACTCATCTGCCATCTAATATCGCCAAGTCAACAAACCGTAACAAAATTTGGCAAAGCTAACGGAGCGAATCTAGCAAAACGCCTAATTGTAGAAGGTCAATGCTTAGAAAAAAATTTAAACGTATAAAAATAATTCGGGTTTGTACATAAAAAATTTGGTCGCCAATTTTTATATAATCATAAGGACGTTGGCAATATAATAATCAATTATTTCGTCACACACTGTTATTTTAATAGTTCAAAATACAGTTATTAGTTGTCTTTAATGATTGCATCGAATGTATTAGCTTTCTATACAAATAATAATGAAAATTCATGTTTTGTTTATAGGAATGCATGAGGGCAAAAAAGTATATAACGGAGAATAGGAAACGCGGATTACAGCGGAACAAAGGTGGAATTTTGCCATTCGAGCTCAATATTCAGTTATTTTCCTATCCACTACTACTTATTACTGTATTAAAAAATGTATCTTGAAATCTATTAAATTGTCGCAAAATCACAAAACAATCCACAAAATTTATTGGGATGAATTAATGGAATCGATATATAAATGGTAGATTAAGGAAAAAAATGGTCTTATAAATAAGACTAAATGCGAATTCGAAAATAAGGTTTTAGAAATCGTATTCTCAATGCAGAAAAGTTAGTTTGCTTGGTCCGAGAGCAGAATTGCAGTGAAACAACGAAGGGAAAGGCATTAGAAATGTTCTCTCTTTTAGTTCAACTCAGAATCTTATTCTTTTGCAGTTAGTAGAATCTTTTGCAGAACTGCAGAATCTTATTCGTTCATAATTGCAGTTTTATATTCCTTTCGAACTATAGTGTTTTAATTTGTTGTAGTAACTTACCATAATGAACTTCGCG